GAGGCAAAACTGCAGGCTGCCACTGTAGCTTACTTGTCAGTGGCCTTAAAGGAGGCGGGGGGAAAGTCCAGACTTCTGGTGAGCCTCAGCCTCAGATGATTCCTAAAAATTGATTTATTGGATAGCAGGAAATGTAGGCTGTAGATCAGTATAAGCAGGCAGAAATTAAGAGGAAGTCCACCTCTGTTTCTATCGTACCCCTCATGCTCCAGTTGGGAGCAGGACTCCGCATCCATACTTTCTCCACCCCAAAAATTAAGATCCATCCCAATCCACGCACCTCTGTTCCTTTAAGGTGATTAGCAGAAACTGTGCATGGGGAGGTACCTGAACTGAAGGGTAAGCATCTCCGCAGAGACACTTACGTGTTGTGAGCGACTGCTTGTGTACACGACTTCACCCAGGGGCTCATATAACCACCTCCACACAGAAAGTTATTTTCAACATACCACTCACAAGCAGTTTCTTTGGTAACCGCCAAACTCCACCATACATAATAAACTTAGTTTACTTGGCAACACTCAAATGTTCCGAAAAAAGTGGTGATCAAAAAACAGTATGTGCTAGGTACATATTTAAGAAGTATTGCTATGAAACCTAGGAATCATCTCTCCTCCAGTTATGGCCTGTTATTTGGAAACTAGGTGCAGGTGCCACTACGTAAATTCAGGAAATTAGGCCAGTGCTCTAGATGCATTTCACTGGAGCTTTGAATCAAGCACAGGCAGGAGTTTCAAAAACTGCGTCTCTTCACATACCAAATAAGCTACAAGACACCCAACACAGCACTTTAGATTAGGCACTACAATTTGGTAACCTGAACTTTTGTCATTAAGGCTCCTAGATTGTAAGCACTCAATTACTGGATCTAACCCAGTGAGTCATCTAAAATCAATATAAAAATTAAGTCAGGAATAAACATGATGCTTTAAGTTTATAACCTGCCTTATTTCAAGCAAACTTTCTGTTGCAGGCTAGCCCTCTGGAGCTGCTGTAATCTGCAAATTACTATTTCTGCTCTAGCAGTACTGTGTATTAATTTAGCTTGCATGTCTTCTATTCTAAATAAACTGAAGCTGTTTAAGAAAAGCTATTTATGTCACGATTTATACTACCTGAAAAAGCAGTGAAAAAGGTTTATCACTTCACTAAAAGGACACAGTAAGCTTATTTGGGTCAATACAGAATATAATGGTAAGAGCTATTTGCTAGTAACAACACTGCAGGTGCACTTCACAGTGACTGCCATACTTGGGAGTTACTCTACAAATAGGCAAGCCCTAGAGGTGTGGTATTACTGTTCTCTATTTGTGAATCTGACTTTAAACAGAAATTTTACAGATTGGGATCACTGAATGGAACTCATTTCAACTTTTTATTTGAAAGCTGGGAGGCCCCAGTGTATGTAAATACTAGCCAACAGTTGTCTTTTCCCTTAGTTTTGTAGCTTACAAGGCTTCTCTCAAAACTTCTTTAGTTTTAACAGCCTAAGTAGAGCAAGAAGAGACATTATTTATGATTATTCTAAGGCAAACAAACCTGTAATTATTGTCTGAGATGGAGAATATAATAAATTAATTGTGCTGTTCTCTATAAATGAACTTTCTATGATACAATTTTTTTTTCACATAGTCAATTCCAAGTTGCCTTTCAGATAATAAGAAGCAGCAGTTTACATATGTAAGTCAAAAAAGTCCTTGCTCTTTAGTTAACACCTTTTCCTGAGTCTTCCTCTTTTGATGTAAATTAGTTACTACCACCAGACTAAGGGAAGAGAGAATGCCAAGAAACATCCAGTCAAATAAAGAACTTTTTTGCTACTAAAAAATAGGAATATTTTTATGTTTTACTTCAATATAAACAAGGCGGTTCTGAATACTGCGGTACTACAACAATAGCAGTACCCCTGAGATGATCAAATTTTATCACCTCAGCAGTACTTGAGGAAAGTCAGTGGAAATGCTATACAACTGTTGATTAGCTCAGTCACACTAATCCCTGATGTAGCACGGCAACCAGAAGAACATAAAATTTGCTTCATACTATTGGTGAAGACCTATTACTGAAAATATTCACACCTAAATACCCATTATACTTGCACTTGAAGTTATCAAGTAAGGAGATTACAATTGCACTTCTTCCAATTTAGTTAATGAGTATAGAGTGAAGATTTGACTACAAGATGCAGCTTAAAAGTCAAGTTACTGCTACATGTGAATGAGCAGAACAAAATGTATGCGTATGTACACACAGAGAGGTTTAGTAACTACTAGAAATAGGAAAGAGGATTAAATTGAGATGCTGTTACCTCCTCCCTGATCTCTAAACTAGGTTCTATCTTAACCTCAACTGTAAGAATGCCTGACAGCTGCAAACTACTTCTAATCTCATTTTTTACTTTTCATTTGTATTTATTTCTTTCCATTCCAAGTAGTTCACTATTCTTTATGATCTTATTACAATTATTTAATAGATCAGTATAGAGCTAAAGGACACTAAAAATAAGGTTTCCGGACATTCTAGTACTGGCTTTTAGCCAAGACTATCCTCTTAGCATTTTTGATCGAACCCCAGTAGTTTTTTCAGGATTTCTGGACACTACTGAAATAGTCATCTTTTCCTTATCATAAGTGGATTAGCTGGTCCGAGCTTATATGGTGTAGCTGCCTGCAGCGCTGTGCCCTGCACATGGGAGGCACACACTTGCACCAAACCCCTTCCTTCACTATAGTGTGCCTCCTTTCTAAAAAAGGCTTTTGAGTATAGCTTCAGAAGGTGCACAAACCATATATAGTCTTACAGTTTCAGCCTCCATGCCCTGCATTAGTCATGTTTTCTCACTTTATCCCTCCATTATTCCAGGTAAGAGACTATTGTAAACAGGCGCTGTCTCTGCGTGCATCAGACAGAACCCCAGACTCCTAGAGAAAGCAAAATAATTGGTTTCTATCTGGTTCCTAACATTAAAGCCTAAGCATTTGTACAGTGAAAATAAGTAGTACCTGATCTACTCGCATCCACTGGTTTGCAATCAAACAGTAATTCACTGGTAGCCATCTGACGCCGACCAATAAAACATGTTTTTTTTCCTGTCTTCAGAACAGCCTTGAACCATCACATGTCAAAATTGACAGCCTGACATCTGTCTCAACTACCTACTTGCGATATAGTTTTGTAGTGTTTAAGTAATTAGATTTTTTTAAACAACAAAACAGTAACTTTATTTCATCTATTTTCTAGTGCATTTAAAAATAATAGTAAAACATACAGAAAGGTTAGAAGAAAATCCCTCTCTGCTTATGCTGTCGTCGTAAGGTTCTGTGGCTAACCACATTTCTCACCTAGTGGAATTTTAGCACTGTGGAGTCCAAACATTTGACTGTTTCACGTTACATTGGTTTTCAGTTCTGGTGTATGCTTTAAGCTTCCCACTTCCTTCTTCAGGACATTAAGCAAAGTTCTAGAACTATCCAAAATCTTCATGTAAGCAGCTTCAGTTTCAGCAAGAATTTTATCAAGCTCATTCCGTGAAGCTACCTTTTTGGCCAAGTTTTCACATACACACTCCAGTTGTTCACTCAGGACTTGGATTTCATGCTGGAGTTTATTTTTTTCCTCTTCTGCTTGCTGGATTTGTTTGTTCAGCTCTTCTTTTTGCATGCATAAGTCTTCGATGCATTTCACGAGCTCATTATTGTAACCCTGAAGAACAGCTCCCTGCTGAGTCATCCTCCACTCCCCTCCCTCAGCTCTGCCACTGCTCCCTGAAGTCCCCTCTCAGGAACAGCCTTCCGCACTCTAAAAACAAAACAAAAAACCCAACAAAAACCAGAAAGAAAAATACCGTAAGACAGTTATCACGAATAATGCAATGCTAGCACAGACAGAACCACAGGCTAGTTCTGAGTTGTGCCGCATCTATTCCCTTTTCAGGAAGGGGGCAAAACAAGATTTGGCATCTATGCTATACTTTTACCGAAAATCGGTCTCTCCTGTGATACCCGCATAGCAATGCTCAACTGGTATCAAAAACGTTCTATTACATTTTATAGTAACTTAATACCATTCTGAATATATGGTGCTTAGTACCTCAGACTTCGAGGGCTCGGTCAGAAATAACCAAATAGCCCTTTCCCCGGAGAAGGCTCAGCAGTCACCACCAGCAGCGGGCATCCACTCGCCCTCTGACGAAGGGGATCTTCCTCGCGAACTGAGCGCCAGGCACCCACTTCGGAGAGCCCGGGGCCACCTGAAGCAAACCGATCAGGCGCTGTTGGCTACTCAGGGGCGCCGGGATGACCATTTTACGCGTGTGC